AGAGAGAGAGAGAGAGAGAGAGAGAGAGAGAGAGAGAGAGAGAGAGAGAGAAAGAAAGAACAAACTTGGGAAGCAGAGGTAGGTGGGTCTCCATGAGTTCATGACCAGCATGGTCTACTTAAATAATAAGCTCTAAGAAATCCAGGGCTATGTCTCAAAAGTCAAAACAAAAAAAACTAACAAAACAAAAACAAAACAACCTGGAAGCTTCTCGGAACACTTCCATAACAGTTAGAAAAGAGGTTTGGGAAGAGGCACCCCTCAGAGGAAGGGCAGGGGCAGGAGGACAAGCTTCTCACAGTCCCTGCCTCAGGAGCTGGCTTCAGGGAGAACCCCAGTCTCCTAGACATCTCCAGGCAACGACTCTACTATAGCCATCTTTATTCATTACAGAGTTTGAACTTGGTGGAAGCTGGGGTCCCAAGGCTTGCTGGGGAGCAGGGCTAGGCTGGCCCCAATCCCATGTCCTGGCTTCACTCCTTCTGGAAGCTCCGGCTCAGCAGTGGATCTGGAGGGCTCTTGGTGTTCTGGTTATCTTCCAGATAAATAGCTTCGTCTCTGGAAATGGCCTCGCTCAGGCCTTGCAGGTTATCAAGCAGGACAGTCAGGGAGCCTGATAGAGGAGACACTGTAGGGCGGACACTGGGGTGAGAGCAGGCTGCACGGTGCCCAGGGCACAGGGCTGCACAGGATGGGAGGCCCTGAGGGAGGTTCCTGGGCACATGGCAGCACAGATAGGAGGCCAAGGGCCTCTGGGGCTCAGGCCTGGAATGCTGTGTCCTTCAGTGTATTCTACCTTTCACAGATTCTTTGGGCGGTGATGCTTCAGGAGACTCAGGAGCTGGGGGCTCTACAGGCCGGGGGCTGCACTTCTTATCCACTTCAGAGGGAAGCACTGCTAACAGGCGCTGCTGCTTGTAACGGAAGAGGAGACCCTCCTGCTTCAAGGTGGCCTGGGAAGGAGAGGGTCAGCCGCATCGGCCCAGGACAGGCCACCCACCCCCTCCACGCCTTTACTCACCCACCAGCCGCCATGACTAGCTCCCTGCTGCCCCCTACCAGCATGAGGTTCTTGTCCCTCTCCAGCTCCTGCACTCGCCGGGTCAGCCGCTGTCCTTCTTCCTTCCGGGCCTCCTCCTGCAGACGCCTGAGCTCCTGGTTGCGCTCCTTTTCCCGGGTGGCTTTGTGCTGGATCTGGCGCAAGGAAACCACTAAGGAGATGGGAGGGGGTTAGCCCAGAGCCCCAAAATGAGACTTGAGTTCTCGACTCTGTCTCTCGGGGGGGGGGGGGGTGTCTCTCTTCCACGCCGTGGGTGGGCTGATGTCATGGGATCCTGAGCTCCACGAGCTCTAAGTACTATCCCCATCCCTGACGCCAGTTCCTTAGGCAAGACCTGGACAGGGGCCAGAGTCACAGCTCCTGTAGCTAGTGCTCATGTGATCTGTGTTGCTGTTGTTTTTGAGACATGGTTCCCTATGTAGTCCAGGCTAGCCCTAAACTATCCTGCCTCTTACTTTCAAGTGCTGGGGTGACAGGAAAGTGCTACCATGCGTGGCTAGGGCTCATGTTCTTATGACACTGGTAGCATGATTAGAGAATTTTCTATCTGTGAGGCGTGCAGCTAAACCGTCATGTCTGCTGCAACTTACACGATTCAAATGTCTCCACATGTAACCGTGGGAGCACAGGCAAGAGAGGAGACTGTGTGTCTACTTAGGGAAGGCATGAATATTAATCCTGCTCCTCTAACTCATCCAAGCATTGTTTCTGGGGAGGGCAGTTGGCAGAACTGCGGACACAACAGTGGCGTCCGTTGAGGGGCAGGGACACAGGCCTGGAGACAGAGTTGTTCCTGACGTGGTGCTGGCTGCGGTGTGTTCACTTCATAAGAACTCATTTATGTCAGTCCTACGTGTTACTTCGCTCAGTGTGGCCTTCCTCCCCGAACATCTCACCGGCCTTGGCCTGCTCCCTCCGGGCCTCGTTCAACCTCCTCTTTGTGTCTGAGAGCTGCTCCCGAAGCCGGGTTTCCACCTCCGCCACCTTCTCTTGCAGGGCTGCAGTTGAGGGTACGAGGCAGGGTCAGGGGGAGCTGCCCATCCTGCAGGGTGGCATACACTGCCACTCCCCCGCACCTTGCCCGTAGATCTCCTGCTGCTGTGTCAGCTCCTGACGGAGGCTGGCAGCTTCTTCTGTGCTCTCCTGCTGGCCCTGACGGGCTGCCTCCAGCTGCTGCCCAACGCTGGCCAGGGATTCCTGGGCACGCTGCAGCTCCTGCTCCAGCTGCTGGGCCACCTCAGTCAGCTGCCGGCGCTCTGCCTCCCCTAAAAGGAAACTGTGGTCACACAAGACCTACGCTGGCACCCGAGCCTCAGATGATCAAGAGTCTCTTGCAGACCCACCCACGCACGCACGCACGCACGCACGCACGCACCCACGCACCCACGCACGCAGACATACCTTGCTCCCGAGCCCGGCCCACCTCCTGCTGGATGAGGTGGGCGCTCAGCTGCAGCTCTGCATCCAGGCGGTTCCGCTCTTCCCGAAGCTGCTCCAGCTCAAGGCTCAGGTATGTATCCAGTGGGGGTGCAGGTTCGGCTGGGGGAGAGCTGGGACAGCAATGATAGAGTCAGAGAAAATTCCCCCAGCGTCTACCTGACTGGTGTCTCCACCCCTCCTTGGTCCCTCTGGGTCCTAGCAGCCAATAGGTTTGCCCCCAGCATACACACACACCCCTCCACCTCAATGTGCCTGAACTTCACCTCTCCAGGCGCAGCTGAGCAAGAGCCACCTTTCGAGCCATCAAACCTGAGGGGAAGAGGAGACAGGGAGATGAGTATACATGGACAGAGGGTGGCGGGAGCACAGGACAGAGAGATAGTTACCAAGGCAACAGTGGATAAACATGCGGTTAGATCCAGGGCTAAGAGGAAGAGGGCCAGGCCAGTGGGGCCAGGCTAGAAACCCCACAGTTGCTCTACATACCCTTAATGGTGTGGACCTTCCGGACAGCATAGCTGAGCCGGTTGCTGAGGCTGGGAATCCGGGCTACAGCCTGATCCACCCTGGTCATGGTGCTCTGGAGTTTGGCCTGAGTGCTGAAGAAGATAGAGGCCGCTCACCGTCCTCCCTCCCCTTATCCCTTCAAGACCTGCACGGTCTGGTGCGGAGGACACACCTATCCTGTACACCTATCCTGAGCGGAGAGGTGGGCTCTCA